TGCCTGTTTTGTTATAATTATTATTATTATTATTATTATTAATTATTAGTATTATTTCTTCTTCTTATTATTATTATTATCAATATTATTAATGTTATTATCATCAATATTATTAATTATTATAATTATTATTATTATTATTATTGTTATTATGCTGATTTTTATTTTATTATTATTATTATTTTTATCATTATTATTTTTTTTTTATTACTATTATTATTATTATTATTATTATTATTATTATTTCTTCTTCTTCTTCTTATTGTTAGCATTATTTTAATCATAATTATCATAATTATCATTATCATCGATATTATTATAAATTAATTTCATTATAATTATTTTTATTATCATTATCATTATTATTTTTATTATTATTATTATTGTTATTATTATTTATGTATATTATGATTATTATTTATCTATTGTTATTCTTTTATTATTATTATTATTATTATTATTATTATTATTATTATTATTATTATTATTATTACCATTTTATTATTAATATCTTTTAATAATATTATTATTATTACTATTATTACTTTTTATTTCTTATTATAATTATTATTATAATTATAATTATTATTATTTTTGTTATTAGATCTATTATTGATTTATTTATCTATTATTATTATTATTATTATTATTATTATTATTATTTTGTTGCATATTCCCTGCCATTTTATTTGATTTTTGGATTTTATTTTATTCGTATATTTTGTATTATATGTTATAAGCGCCACACCTAAAAGATAGAACAAACTCCCATTTGCAAGGAATGGGAATTATCTCCCATTATAAGGAATTGGATTTTTTTCCCATTTATCAAAATAGGATTTTCTTCCCATTATTAAGATGGGTGATTTCACCCATGGTTGCGTTTCACCCATAATGAAAATGGGAGATTATAAAAATATTTATATTTCGATCTATATTTTTAGGAAGGAATATCTTAAGTCAAGATTAGTGATTTTTTTTTAAAATAATGGTATATAAATTTTTTTAATTCTCCCGTGATTTTTTTCTCCCATTCTCGTAAAGAGGAAATGAAACCCCACGAAACTCCCACTGGGAGACCAAATCCCCAGTGGGGGAATCGAAAAACCCCATGGGACGACCAACTTTGAATGTCTCCCCTGCATTTAATTTTAAGGGTATCGTCATTTCAAAGGCCAGGTTTTACTTGACTCTATCTCTATTATTGACCGGTCTTTATATTTTTTCTCTAATCAATTTAAAAAAGGTAGCTGAGTTTGCGAAAATTCCGGATTTGCAAACTTATTCCGGAGGCTGTTAAAAACTGATTCATTTCCTATACCAAGAATTGATGACTGTATTGACAAAATTGGAAAAGCAAAGTATGTAACAAAATTTGATCTTCTAAAAGGATTCTGGCAAGTTCCACTTACTGATAGAGCTAAAGAAATATCAGCCTTTGTAACACCAGACGGCTTGTATCAATATAAAGTTATGCCATTTGGTATGAAAAACTCACCAGCAACTTTTCAGAGGCTAATAAACATGGTAATATCTGGTCTACACGGATGTGACGCATACATTGATGACGCAATCATCTACTCTGATGAATGGGAGGAACATCTCAAAACTATACGAGCATTCTTCGACCGACTTAGTGATGCTAAATTGACAGTTAATCTTGCAAAAAGTGAATTTTGTCATGCAATTTTAACATTTTTAGGACATGTAGTGGGACAGGGTAAAGTAAAACCAATAGAAGCTAAGGTCAAAGCTATCTCTGAATTTCCTGTGCCTACTTGTAAAAGACAACTGATGCGATTTCTTGGTATGGCAGGGTATTATCGTAAATTTTGTAATAATTTTTCGGTTATTGCAGAACCATTGACAAATTTGCTAAAGAAAAGAAACAAATTCATTTGGAATGACAAGTGTCAAATGGCATTTGACAGCCTTAAAGCCATACTTAAGAGTGCACCAGTTCTCTTGGCACCAGATTTTAAAAAAAACTTTAAGTTAGCTGTAGATGCTAGTGACATAGGTGCTGGAAGTGTATTGATCCAAGAAGACAACAATGGTGTTGACCATCCTGTTTGTTACTTTTCTAAAAAGTTTAATGAACATCAGAAAAATTACTCTACTATAGAGAAAGAGTGCCTTGCTCTTATTCTTGCTATTCAGCATTTTGAAGTTTATCTAACTTCTTCAAAGTTGCCTGTTGTTGTCTTTAGTGATCACAATCCCCTCACTTTCTTGCATAAACTTAAAAACAAAAATCAAAGGTTGTTGAGGTGGAGCTTATTTTTGCAAGAATATAGTCTTGACATTAGACACATTAAAGGGAAAGATAATTTGATCCCTGATGCACTTTCACGTGTCTAAAACTGTTATTTGCAGTATTTTGAATTTAACATTTATATGATATGATTGATTATTTTTTTTTGTTGTTTGCTATTGTTTGTAATAGCATTTATATGAATGTATAAAATTGTTTAACATTTCTCCTACGTTATTTGTAAGTTACATTGTTTGAATTTATGTAAAAGAAATATTCATTTCATTAATATTTCTTTTTCTTGAAGAGGGGAAGTGTTATGTATGCAACATATTACATGTATATAGATTATATCTGACCAGTTGGTATTTCCAATATTGTCATTGTTCTATTTTTAGAACATAAACTACATGTATGTACTAGAACGTTCTTAACTGTTGTGGAAAACTCATGCATTATATTTAGATAGAAATTTCTGGAATGATCTTTATTGTTGAAGTTGTTAGATTATGATTACTGTAGTAAATGGAAGACTATTCTAGAAACTTCTTAGTTAATATATATAAGGAGACATTTTTCATTACTCTTATCTTTAAGTCATCAGTTACCTTTTTAGTCATCAGTGATCTTTTAAGTCATCAATATATTTGTAGTATTATTCAACTTGGAAATTAAGTGATTTATTGGAGCTTGGATTATTAATTATTCTTGTGGATTTTATTGTGGGAATTTATTCTAAAGTGTTCTTGGATTTAACTTGGATTTAACTGTGCTATTAAAAAAGGATCATTCCAGGATCAGACTAGACATTTGTAATTTTTATTTGGACTTCAGGTATTTGTAAAGATAATTTGTTATTTTATTTTTTCTTTAATAATTTTTCTGTAATAAATTTGTTATTGTTACAAGTTTGTTGCTGGCTTTTCTTTCTCGTTACGCCTGGCTCGTAACAATATGTTAAAAACAATTATGCTTAGAACTGATGTTATGCACTTATACTTTTTTTCACTTACAATACTGCCCTAATAACTAAGCCAAATAGCACCAATTCCTGAATTATAAAATAAATGTTCTAAAAGTACATGTAACTACCGTAGGAGTTTTAACGGAACTTTGGGGTAATTGAATTCAATAAGCAGCGAAAAGAAGCGAATTTAATAATTTGAAACATGTTAATGCACATTTTTATACAGATGATGCTTTTCCTCGTGGATGCTGTTGTATAAGGACTCTCACCCTGTCGGTGAAATCATGTCGGTGAAAGGCTTTTGCTCGACAAAAGTGGTTTGTGTCCTTATTTATGGGAAACATTCCCTTTTATTACCCTCACTTATTTCGTAATGCTAATTTCCAATAGGCCTCTGGAAGTTATTTTTACTGTTAATGCAAGTGTACCACGTGACTATGAATTTTGTACTGTTACATTGGTAACAGTATTTTTTAATAGTATAAAATCTGGTCACGTGGTCTATTTTCTAAATAAGATGAAATAAAATGGCCGCCATTTTTTTCTCGATTCATTCTTATTTTCGACGTTAAACCCCGATAGGACATCAATTTCTTCTCTGAAGTAACTGTGACACTCATAAAATTTAGTTGTTCGCACCCTGGTGTGCTTTTCGCGTATAAAATATCTTTTTGTTGAATAGTCAAAAAGTGAACATCCGTTTTCAACGGAAGTAATTGCAATGTAAATAATTATGTATCAAACTGGAACATGCAGACGATTTAAGCATGCAACAAAGGATTATATAACAATTTTAATCAGTGAAACGTTACAGATATGGTGGACAGGCATAGGATATCATCGTTATTTTGTCTAAAGTATTCTGGAAACATAAGGATCAGATTTCACAGATCATAACCGTGTAAATGGGTTAGTGTTTTGTTTTCTAAATAAAACCTAGCTTATTGTATGTTTATGATTTGTAGATTTGTACACTTAAAACTTAAAAGGTAAGGACAGTTTAGGTATTGTTACTCTTGGTTTATTTTTGTTACAGTTAGATTTAGTTAACAATTTTAGATCATCTCAGTATTTTGTTCGGGGTAATAAAATAAATTACACATGGGTTTGTGAGTAACAGTTAAAATATCATCCCTCGTAAAAATTCTGTCACCCTCGGCTACGCCTCGGGTAACAGTATTTTCCTCGGGATGATATTTTTACTGTTACCCACAAACCCATGTGTTATTTATATAATGTTAATTCATCGACTTTAGTTTTTGCATATTATCATGCTCATTAAAGGTATCGTGACGTTCTACCAATGTCGTTACATGTATATTTACACACCACCTACAATTTTATTATGAAAGTACTATATTACTAGTGTATGATGGTTGTAATCAAAGTGATCTAAAGATAGGAATTTTTACGATCGTTCTAATTGTCACTTTATACAATGAAGTGTTTTTGTAATGTTTATTTCATTTTCAAAATTGTTTATTTTTTTTACAATTGGTACAGGGCTGTGTGTAGGTCGTAATATTTTAGGCTAATAATTGTTATAAAAAACCTTTCAATAAGAAGGATACACTGACAAACAAAATACCTTTCACATTTTAGCTACTTGAAAACATCTTGGCCCACGTCAAAAAAAAAGAAACATATTTAACGATAAATAAGTTACTCCCTTACTTTTAAAAAGGTAATAAAAATAAAGGTAAACTACAATGCAGGGTAGACTTTTCGAAACTTTTGTTCCAAGCGCAATTAACTGAGAACATTGTACAATGTACTTACACAATTCTGTATCACAAGACGCTTGATGCATAACTCCTGATGGGGCGAAGCTTGCAAGACGCATACTTTCGTGTAACACAGCTTCCGTATAACCAAGATTAGGGCGGTCTGCAACTCCTGGTAATCTGTCCCTCCCTGAAGAAGAAATGTACTACCTTTTATATAATAAGTGATAACTTTATTCTCAAGCACTAATTATACAGCAGTTATAATAATGTGAATATATATCTGAAGTGTTTAACGAAAACGAGTTTGTATTTTCTTTATTTAAATGAAGCAAAATCTCAACACTGTAATTGACTGGCGAAGGCAGTCTTGAGCTCAAAATTTTTGAGGAACAAATCATAATTTTTAAGCATTAATTGTTCCAGATCAAAATACGCGGAATGTGCCTTTGAGTTGAAATTGTACAATTTACCACTTTTAAATTGCAGACTGCTTTGGTAGACAAATGTAGTTCACTTACCAACAGCATTATCTATTTCTTCTTGAACCTTTTCTTGTATATCCGGAAATGCCACCATGTGTAACAGGGCAAACCTGAGTGTAAATCGGGATGTGTCTATGCCAGCTAAAATACAAAAATAAAATCGAGTATAAAGCAAAATCTACAATCCATGGCAAATCTTTTAAAATGATCTAGATAACAAAACAAAAAGTCCTCCTTTTACATATGTCCCTTGATTTGATATAAACTAATCAAATTAGGTTTCCAATATTATTTTTAACTAGCACCTTACTTCAATTTTCAATTATAAGAAATAATAAAATGGTGTTCTCAACGATGCATACCAAAGAATATATCAGTAAGCGTTTGAACAATGTGATCTTCATCTAGTCCTGAGAGTGCGTCTTTTCCCTCCTCGTGTTCCGCCTCCATGCGAGCAAGGATCAAATTGTCCGAAAAATGTCGCATGTTATCTATGAAAAAAATAGTTCTTTATATCAAAGGCATAGTCATTATGCCTTAGAAATTCATTTTTTCCGTCTTTAGAAATATCAAACATACGTTTAATTACGTTTAAATAATGAATTATGAGCATAAATTTTAGTTTTGACAACAGGAAAAAGTAGCGCTGAACATGCAGTTATGTCCTAAAGGTAGCGAAATGTAAACAAAGAAGTACTTGTATTTTGACTTCCATACAAAATACTAATTCACTATAATTACATACTAAGTATTTTTGACTCCACCTTATTTCCTATATGCATCTAACTTTGTTAAATGTTGACTCCGCCTCCTTGTTTATATGCTTTAACATTTTTACATGTTGACTCAACCTTCTTTTCTAACTGCACTTACCTTTATTAAAAGTTGACTCCGCCTCCTTGTATTTTCTTCTTATAAACCCTTCAATCATTTCATTCGTAAACACCTCCATCTCTTTAAAGGCCTGGGTCTTATACACAAATTTCAATCCTGGTACAAAATCCTCCAAGACGCCCGTTGCAAATATGTCGTTTATTTTGTCTTCGGCTTTCAGAATATAACTCACTTCTTTATCTTTGAAATCATATCTTAAAAGAACAGAACTGATTGTATCAACACGGAAATATTTCCCTACTTTTCTACTCTGGTAGTCAGACATAATTGGTAGTAATTATTAAAGAATATACAGAAATTAAAAGCTTATTTCAGAGGAAAAATAATAGAAACAGTATTTGTTTTATCTGTTTGAATGGGGCGACCGTGGCCGAGTGGTTAAATCGTTTTAAATCGAAGCAACATGTACAGGACTTGTACCCACACATAGAAGACTCAGACAGAGTTCAGACAAAGTCTCAACAGTTCTCATGCGCGGACACAGAAGGTGGGGGTTAGGGGATCATACCCCAACCCACGCCTTCGGATTTCGCTTATATGTCGAACCCCTGTGAAATTTCGTTATCAACATATTGAAATAAACATGAACAATAAAAAACAAACAGAAACATGATTTGACCCTGCAGAATCAATAACGAGAAATATTTGCATTTTAACACCACTTACTTTCCGCCAAAGCAAAGACTTGTCAGGATGTTGGTAACGATAAAGTTTATGTACTGTTCTGGATCGAATTGGCCGGAAATTTTGTCAATTTCAACAAACGCCGTTTCTACTGCATCAAAAATTCTGTGCTCTAAGGCGTCTCCTTGCAAATATTGTCTGTAAAGAATGAGACACGATGGACAAAAACCATGCGAATTACTCGTATTGTCCAACAACTTTGACCTTGCACTTCATTAACTTTCGTAAAGGTCATTTGAATAAACACTGACCAGTATCTATCGAATATATCGATAAATTTGCTAACTTCACTAGTGAGGTTTGGTGTATTGGTATAGATGTCGGACTACGGATCTGAAGGTCTCTGGTTCGATTCCTTACCATCACCAAGTTGTGATATTTTTTATTTACTTTGAAATCATTTTAGTACGCCTGGTTTAAGAATACCTTCTACTTATGTGGATTTTTCAAACACAATTATATGTTTCATTTCATTACAGTATCTTTCAACGGTTCTCTTTGTGACATTATGCAATCGTATATGCTTTAGCTCCTACACGCTATAAAGGCAGTTATTAAAAACTATACACTGATAGTACACACAACATTAAGGTGTGCAATAGTTTTAAGAGAATGGCAATTATAAAATTAAAAAAGAAAAGAAAAAAATAACTCTCTGAAACAGGATTCGAACGTGCCTGTTTTAGTCTACAAGCTGCAACTTTACCAACTGCGCTAATAGGGATTTTAATTTACATCTTTTTAACAATTGGATATTTACATTTATATCGATTTGCAAGTAGATCATAAAGTTTACGGAATATACCGACTACAGGGTCAAATGCAAGAGTGTCAGGTCAATGTTGTTGGACAATATAAGTGTCAGTCTTTATAACTATAATATACAAATGTTCGGCGATTCGCCGCGACGGCTGTAAAGCGCTTAAATTTGGGTCCTTATTATAAAATCTGTTAAATGTAAAGTCCAGCTTTCTTCTCAACTATAGAAAAACAGTTTCTTCTCAACTAAATTAAAAATTTTAAGTATGTGCACTGTACACTTTTAATGGGTATAAAGCTATACATTATGAAATAATTTCATAAAATTTAACAACAGTAACATTTCATTTTGTTGCATAAGGTTATGGTTGATTCTCGATCTAAAGAGTTGTAATAAAGTTTCCTCAGTCTGTTTTTTTACACGCATGCATATTGTAGGTAGACGGAATAAATTGTTCCGGAAAAGGTTTATATATTCGCTTATTCATATAAGACATATTTAGGAAGAATGTACTAGATTTCAATAAATTCCTGCAAAGTATTTGACCCAAATATGAGCATAGTATATCTGAACTGATTAATTATTGCAACTTAAATGAACGTTTTTATTCTTAACCCATTACTTCATATACACGCCTTTTAACGCCTTTTTCACCCCCCCCCCTTTTTGTTGTCTCAAATGATGAAAAAATGCCTTATTTAGGCCCCAAACACTTGGTTTTGTTT